ATATAAATATTTAAAATAGATTATCACAAATCGAACCATTCAAAGCTTTATATGGAGTATCTCAAATAATTACAAAGTATTTATCTATTTCATCTTACCGTATATAGAGTACTTCGTATTGTATTTTTCATTTTTTAAAATTATTTCATTATTATTGCTTTTATTATATGTATTACTATTATTAGCATTATTTTTTAGAGTTATTAATAGTCCGATACGATATGAACTGAAAATAAAATCCATTTTTAAAATTTAGCTAGACTCATTATCTTTTACTCCCTCCGTTCCTAAATAAACTTCCTCTTTCGTTTTTTTTTGTCCTCAAATAAACTTCTCTTTTCCCTTAAAAACCCCTTTTTACCACTTACTTTTTCATACCCTACCTATCACATCATACCTTTTTACTAATAATCTACATATCACATCTTACTTTTACACATCACATCAAGGGTATTTTTGGAAAGTCAACACAAAAATATCTCTCCCTTAAATCCTCAAAAAGTCAAAAACGGAAGTTTATTTAGGGACGGAGGGAGTATTCTTTATGTTTATTATTCTTTTAAATTCTAAATCAATACTTCTATTTAACAAACTTTTGCTTTTTTTATACAAAAGTATTTTTTTTTTTCCAATGTTGTTTGAGAGATGCATGTTCATTTTTTTGGCACAGTTTGAGCATGGTTATCGTATTGTACCGTTCTATTTCAAAACAGAATGGTACTGAATGCTTTTGGGGTTCATCCCGTACTTATATTGAACCGTTTAAATAAGATCTATTCGTGATAGGCTCAGGTAGTATCACGGACCATCACTACAAGAAAGTTGATATTTCACCGCAATTAAAATTATTGTTCGTCACACTTATAAATGTTGAAAACACAATTTTCCACATATGTAGTAGTGTGGTTATATAGATGTTGCTAAATTTGTTCAGCACTTTTAGAGAAGTGCGGCTAAAGCATACATCAGCCACACACATATATGATGCAAATGTTTTGTTTTTTCCGCGTTGCGTTTTTATGTGTTTTAGAACACCAAATATCCTAAAACACTAGTATTTTTATTTTAAATTCATAAAAGTCTATGTGAGAATCGAATCACATCTCCGTGCACGTACTTTTACACATGACATTTTACCATCTATACTATATTTAAAAAGAGGCGAACTTTTCCTTGTGTTTTCCCGCCCATACGTGTGAGGCACAGATGGTAAGTGCTGAATGTTGAAATAGTAAATGTTGGATGTTAAACCATGTACCGAGTAGAAAAAAAGGTAAGTACCGTGTTGAATAAAATGATAAGGTAATTTAATAATGTCTATATACTTATTATTAATAAGGTAATGTAATGATGCCTATATGGTAATTGATGGGAAATAATACGTGACCCGGTCCACATTTCCCAATTATTTACGAAGAACAGTCAAATCGGACCTGTTTAATAAAATGGAGGAATAAGATAATATTCCTCCGAAGATGCCCCTCCTCCCTCCTATAAAAGGAGGGGTGCCCCCAATGTGAAGAGGGAGGCCAATTTTTACACTCCCCTGCCCACTTCCTTTCTCTCTCTAAAATAGTGTGTATTTTGCTTCTTCTTCAAGAGCTCAAAAGCTCCATTAATGGCTTCTACGCCTAAATCATGTACCGTGTACACACCCCCGATATTAATAAAAATCCCCCGTTGGCAAGGTACCACCAAAAAAGGCCTGTGGTTTTCTCCCGATTTGGGTTTCCACGTAAAAATCCTCGTGTTTATAGTTTGGTGTATTTTTTAGAGTAGTTTATCGTTTTTGCCGGGCTAAAATGATATAGTGGTCGATAATTTACACCATCAATAATAATGATAATAATAATAATATACACGGTAATAATAATAATAAGGAGAATAATACAAATAACGGTAATAATATTAATTTCTAATATCATCTTTCCCATAAAAATGTCAAAGTATTTATTATCATAAGTTTCCATTTTTTCAACGTCTAGGCTCCTAGGCATTTCCGAGAATAATGAAAAAAATTCAATGGCCGAAAATAGCGAGAATAATGTGTATATGGTAATAATGATGATGATGATGATGATGATAATAGTAATAATAATAACCATGTACTGTGTAGAATATATAAAAAAGGTAAGTATTATGTATAATAAAATGATAGGGTAATTTAATAATGTCTATATTTATTATTATTAAGGTAATATAATAATGTCTATATCGCAATAATAATAATAATATACACGGTAATAACAATAACGAAAATAATACTCATAAAGGTAATAATATTAATTGCTCATCATCTTCCAATAAAAATGTCAAAGTAATTTATTATAATAAGTTTCCTTATTTTTAATATCTACGCTCCTAGGCTTTTCTAAGGATAAAGAAAAAAAATAAATGGCCAACAATAGCGAGAATAATGTGTATACAGTAATGTGAAAGTATTTTATTATAATAATATACACAGTAATAATAATAATAATAATAAAGAGAATAATACTAATAAATTAAAGGTAATAATTAAAATTTGAAAGTATTTTATTATAATAAGTTTTCTTTTTTAGTATTTACGCTCCTAGGCTTTTCTAAGAATAAAGAAAAAAATAAACGGCCAAAAATAGTGAAACTAATGTGTATATCGTAATAATAATAATAATAATAATAACAACAACAACGAGAATAACACTAATAAAGGTAATAATTTTAATTGCTAATATATGTGTGTGAATAACACTAATATATGAACCACGATGCCATCATATTAACGTATAAATTAAAAAAGGTAAGTACTGTGTGGAATAAAATGATAAAGTAATTTAATAATGTCTAAGTTATAATTAATAAGGTGATTTAGTAATATCTATATGGTAAAAATAATATACATGATAATAATAATAATAAGGAGAATAATACTAATAATGACAATAATATTAAAAATATTAAAAAATGTAATAATATTAATTGCTAATAATATTAATTATACTGATAAAGGTAATAATGAGAATAATACTAATAATAGTAATAATGAGAATAATACTAATAATAGTAATAAAGGTAATAATATTAATTTCTAAAATTATCTCTCCCATAAAAATTTCAAAGTAATTTATCATAATAAGTTTCCTTTTTTTAATGTTTAGACTCCTAGGCTTTCCCGAGAATAAAGAAAAAATAAACAGTCGAAAATAGCGAGAATAATATGTATATGGTAATGATAATAATAATCACAATAATAACAACGAGGATAATACTTATTAAAGGTAATAATAGTAATTGCTACTATGTAATATATACGTGTGTAAATAATACTAACATATCCACTATGGTACCATCATATTATCGTGTAAAATAAAAAAAAAGGTAAGTACCGTGTAGAATAAAATGATAATGTGATTTAATATTGTCTATACTCATTATTATTAATAAAGTAATTTAATAATGTGTATATGGTAATAATAATAATAATAATATATACGGAAATAATAATAATAATAAGGAGAATAATACTAATAACGGTAATAATATTAATAGTACAAATAAAGCTAATAATTTAAATTTCAAATTATATTATTAATAATAATAAAAGTAATAATATTAATAATACTAATGAACGTAATGATGAGAATAATACTAATAATACTGATAAAGGTAATAATATTAATGGCTGATATGGTCTTTCCCATAAAAATGTCAAAGTAATTTATTGTAATAAGTTTCCATTTTTTAAATGGCCAGGCTCTTAGGTTTTTCCAAGAACAAAGAAAAAAATAAATGGTTGAAAATAGGAAAAGAAACTAAATAACTTTTAATTAGAAAATTATACACGGTAATAAATTACTTTTAATTAGAAACTAGTATTACACTCGTGCACTGCACGAGTCATTTTTATGTTACTAAATTATTATCATTTTTCAATGCTAAAAAATGAGATGTAATAGAATGTTGAGATTATATTATTGTATGGTACAAAACATTTTTGCTTTACAAATTTCGGAAGGCTTCTAAATTAAGATAATTTTTAACAGTATAAATTACATTTTTCCTTTACAAATTTCGGAAGACTTCTAAATTAAGATCATTTTTCAGTAAAAGAAACATTTTTGCTTTACAAATTTCGAAAGACTTGTAAATTAAGATCATTTTTCAATGGTAAAAACATTCTTGCTTTACAAATTTCGAAAGACTTCTAAAAATGAGATGTAATAGAATGTAGAAATTATATCATTGTATGGTACAAAACATGTTTTCTTTACAAACTTCGGAAGACTTCTAAACAAATTTGTTTTATAAATTTCAAAAGACTTCTTTATATTTTTGCTTTAAAGAAGCCTTTCAAAATTTGTAAAGCAAATTGTACAAATAATGCAACGAAGACAATGTTACCTCAAATTGTACAAATAATGTAGCATATAAAGAAATCTTTAAAAATTTGTAAAGCAAATTTGTTTTCTACCATAAAATAATTTAATCTCTATAATCTATTACGGAGTACATTTCATTTTTAAGCAGTAAAAGTTTTATAGGATGGATGGAGTATAACACTATAATTATTACGAAGTTAAAATAAATAAAATTATATCTTACTCTCTTCGAAAAAATTATATCTTACTCAAATACGGTGTATAATTTAATCAAAAAAATTAAACCTTTAGTATGTATATTCATCTATTTGATGTGTTTAGAGCATCGATGCTTAAGAGTTAAGATACACACATTTTGTTTAAAATATTTTTTATCGAAGAAAAAAAAACTTATTTTTGAGTAATGTTGCTTGATTTTAAGCAATTATCCAGGCCGCGTAGATCAATTCTTATGCGAGCAAATTTTTAGGCACCGGTTGCTTACCGGAAGAAACTAATTAAGCATCCACAATTATTAAAAATGCTCTTTTGCTGCAATACTTTTCAAAGAATTTCTTTTGTGGTTGTATATATAGGTAGAAGGGCATCCACAATTATTTAAAAATGCTCTTTTTATAGGTAGAAGGGTATATGCTTTATACACTTTTCAAAGAGTATTTATGTTCAAAGAGCAACCAAGAACAGCAACTTCATCGTGTCTTTAAGGGAGCTGAGACAAAAGTTTAAAAAGCAAGGATGGAACAATCACACCACATATTACATGTAACTATATAAAACATATGAACACTTAGTATAGTTCGTGCATGTAGTCTCAAAACCTGCCATTTCCCCCCACCTATCGGGCATCGGCGCAGGTGAACGGATCACCGAATCCGGCAGGCTTTGAAGGGATGCTTCCTTTGCTGTCTTCACTGATCCCACTGAGATCCCCGGTCTTTTCTCTTTGCCAAGCCACCAACATTTGCGGAAGCGGCACTGTGTAATCCAAATCGAAAAACTCCTCCGTTTCCTCCACCGGTTTCCACTTGTCAACCAGTTGGGAAAGCACGTTCACCGCGTGTCCCATATCAGGCCTGTGACTAGGGTCCCTGGCTGTGCAATGGCCGGCTAGTTCAGTCACCGTGCCAATGCTGTCATAGATATCTTCTCTAGCATCCAGAAATGGGTCAATGCTGGCCATAACTTTCTCTCTGTTTGATTTCATCTCCCAAAACCACTCGACTAAGTACCGGCTTTCCTCTGGGCGTTGTTCATCCAGTGCTGTTAATCCAGTCAGAAGTTCCAGCAGCACCACCCCATAGCTGAACACATCAACTTTAGTTGTGATTTTTCCTGTCACTGAAAATTAATGGGTACATCAAGGCAAGAAATGGGTGTACAAAAAGAGCCAGTTTGGTAAGAGGATAGTTAAATTACCTGCATATTCAGGAGCAAGGTAGCCAAATGTGCCTGCAAGCCTAGTTACAAGAGACCTTTCTCGGTCAGGAGCAAGTTTTACCAAACCAAAGTCTGCAACTTTAGCCCTAAAATCACTGCCGAGAAGAATATTGGACGATTTGAGATCGCGATGGATGAAGCTATGGTGTGCAAGACTGTGAAGGTACTCCATCCCTCGGGCAACATCCAAAGCAATGCCCAGCCTTGTTGTCCAGGAAAGAGGCTTCAAGTTCAATTTCTTCCAGCAGAAAAGATGTCTGCTAAGAGCTCCCTCTGACATATATTCATACACCAAAAGCTTCTCGTTTCCCTCAACGGAGTAACCAAGAAGTGATACCAGGTGGCGATGCCGGACACTAGAGAGAACCGCGATCTCAGCCTGGAATTCATCTAAAGCTTTTTTGCTGATTGCCCCAGCTTCCATTCTCTTAACTGCAAGTGGAGTGCCATCTTCCAACACCCCTTTGTATACTACTCCAAACCCTCCGCGGCCTAGTTCATTCTCTGGTGCAAAATTATTAGTTACCCCACGAAGGATCTGCACTGAGATGATCAGGCCACCACCATCAATCACTTGGACAGATTCCAACCCACCACTACTCCTAATTGTTGTTTGACTCCCCAATATATCAAGAGTGGAATTTTCAAATATTTGAATCTTGAGTTCTTGGTTGGATAGGTCTTTGGGGTGGACCATATTTCCACCAGTAGTCCTTTTGGGATTTTTCCTCTTGCGGAAGAAACAAAACAAAGATATTCCGATCAATGCAGTAGCAGCACAAATCACCACAGTGATGGTGATGATGATGGGCCCGAAAGAACTTTGTGGCTTCTTCCCGTGTCTAGTAGAATTTGAGTCTGAACCTGATGTTGGCCTTGGATGTGAATCAGAACCTGAAATTGGGGATGGTGGGTGTTTACCAATGGAAGGAGAAGCCGGACTTGGTACTGCACTGACTTCTATTGCTGGTGGAGGTGAGTCTGTTACAGAAGGATGTGAGACATTTCTATTTGAAGCTAGACTGTGATTAGCATCTGTAAGAATCTTCACCCCATCATGAAACTGTGGTAATGGCAGATCAAAATTGTTTCCGCGTATATCCAACAATCTCAAAGATCCCAACTTTGTTAAATTTCTTGGGACTTGACCATGTAACTTGTTTCCAGCTAAGTGAATTTCAAGAAGTGAACCCAAGGCTGCGAGTGAAGGACTTAGAGTGCCACTAAGATTAAGCTTCGGGAGGTTAATTATGGAAACATGCCCATTTGGAGAGCAACCGATGCCAAACCATGGCCCTTGACAAGGATCATTACCAGTCCATTCTGCAGCCAGATGAAGTGGATAGTTCACATCGCGAAAAAATGCCAAAAGCACATTCACTTCAGGAGCACAATGCTCTCCAGGAATCTGTTGACAGAACGAATTTGAAGAATAAGTGACATTAACAGCTCTAAACTTTGGGATACCACCCATCAACATATTATTATTCAAATCCAATGACTGTAGACTTAGATCAGCCAAATCTTGAGGAACCAGACCAACAAGGTTATTCCCATTAAGGTTGAGGTCCTTCAGAGAGGTCAGATCCCCAATGGTATCCGGGATGGGCCCAGAAAATCTGTTCCCGTGAAGCCAAAGCGATGTAAGCCCAACCATGGATCCTATAACCTCTATCCCACCACTCATCTGCACGCCGTCCTGATTATTCAGCCACAAAACCTGCAGATGAGAGTCGCGAAAACTCTCAGGTATCTCACCTTCAAGCTTGTTATATGACAGCTTCAGTGCAGAGAGAGAAGTCATCTTTCCAAAAAAATCAGGCAATGGCCCAACAATATTGCAAGATGAACATGAAAAATTAGACAGTTGGGTGGATTCTTGAAGCTCAATGGGAATAGACCACCCTGCAGTCTTATTCAAGGGGTTATCGTCCAAAGCCAGAACCCGGACATTAGTAAGCCCGTGGAAGAAATCCACGGGGATGGCATCGAACTCATTCTCGTCCAAGTAGGCAAACTTCAGATTAGACAATCCACTAAAACTGGGTAATCTCCCGTTCAAACGGTTCTTCTGGAGGCCAAGATTCTGAAGCTCACTGAGCTGATTGAAGTCTTGGGGCAAAGTCCCCTTCAGACCCAAACCTTTGGCCTGGATTTGAGTGACTCTCCCCCCAGAACAGAACACATAAGGCCAAGATGGAGGTCCACACGGGTCGATCCCATGACCGGGCCATTTCAGGAGCTCCGGATTCTCCAACCCATTTCGGAACTCATCAAGAATCCTGTAGTCATTCGGGTCGGTCACGCTCCAAACCACATTCCCCAACAGTGCAAGAAAAGCAACAGAGCTATATATACAAAACAAGAGTCTGTGATTTACACCCATGGTCACGAATCTTCATCACTATCGTTTGACATCTGAAAACCCAATACAGAGAAAGTCTGTCCTGAAAGTACAGAGGAAGAACAGAGCAAACCTCGATTGAATGGCGGAAATGGCGAGGACCCAGTATGGGTTCAGGGGAGAAATGGAGGGTAAATTTGGATTAGAATTTCACCATCTCCATAAAGGATTTCAACCCTTCTTCGCAATGCCGGATCAAACCCTAGAGAAGAAGATGGAGTGCATGGAACTTCACCCTTTTCTCCCCTCTCCTCTGTTTCTTTCTCGTCACTTCTCTCTTCTATTCTCTCCCATTTGTCGGTTCGGATCTTTATTTTACTTTTACTTTTTTCGAATTCTAATTTCATTTTCTTTTTTAATTTTGTTTTTTGAGTTGTTATCACCTGTTTTTTCCAATTATGATTGGTAGAATTTCGAATCAAATCGGACATTAGGTTGACATCAATAGAAAGTTGAGTATAACTCATAATCGTAATATTAATGCATCATTTGACGTGATTTGTGACTAAATTATGAAATTATTGTCATCTACTGAGTAAATTAAAATGACTTAGGTAAAATTATTTAAAGCTCTCATCTAATCCTAAATTCATTTTAAGAAGCACAAAACAGGAGTACGGAATACGGGCCGGAAGCTCAGATCTCAAATAAACTCTCTCTATTAAAATTAGAATTAGAGCCGGGTTTCATGGCCACGAAAGCCACTGTCCTCCTACGGAGCTCCGTTTACAAAATTGATGATTCCTACCACTCCTAACTCCTTGGTAAACCCCCCGCCAAGTCCTGACCCAAACTAATCACCCCACCTACGTCAATTGCACCTCATAAGTATAAAGTCAAAAAATTTGACTTTATACTTACGAGGTGCAATTGACGTAGGTGGGGTGATTAGTTTGGGTCAGGACTTGGCGGGGGGGTTTACTGAGGGGGTAGGTGTTAAAGTGCATCCCACATCGAAAGTTCAAGAGTAAAATAATCCGGTATATAAGCTATTGAGTTAAACTAATTAACTAATCGATTGGATTCAATCTTTTAATGTGGTTCAGCCCAAGTGTCTTATTACCCAATCGAGTTGTCCATACCCATCCTAAAATTCTATCATGGTATCGGAGCAGGTTTTGGCCCACCTCGTTTGTCAAGGTGTCCGTCTAGACGTTCATTCCTAGCGGCCCGTTAGTCTTTAGCCCAGTTGTCCGTATGGAATATGTATCCAACAGCGGCTCGTGGTCCTTTAGGTGTTGGCGCTCAAAAAAAATAAGGGAATGGGAGTTCATTTGCAAGTGGTCAACCGGTTAGATTCAAAATGGCTCGGTTGTCCACTTGAGGGGGAGTGTTAGAGTGCATCCCACATCAGAAGTCCAAGAGTAAAATAATCCGGTATATAAGCTCTTGAGTTAAACTAATTAACTAATCGATTGGATTCAATCTTTTAATGTGGTTCAGCCCAAGTGTCTTATTACTCAATCGAGTTATCCATACCCATCCTAAAATTCTATCATGGTATCGGAGCAGGTTTTGGCCCACCTCGTTTGTCAAGGTGTCCGTCTAGACGTTCTTTCCTAGCGGCCCGTTAGTCTTTAGCCAAGTTGTCCGTATAGAGTAAGTATCCAACGGCCTGTGGCCCGTTTAACACGATTGCTCGTCTGGGATACTCTTAACAGTCGGATTCTCCTTGTCCGTACCAGTTCTGAGTTGGTTGTCCCATCGCAATGCTTTGTTGTCAAGGTGTCCGTAGTCTAGACGTTCATTCCTAGCGGCCTGTTAGTCTTTAGCACAGTTGTCCGTATGGAGTATGTACTCAACGGCCTGTGGCCCGTTTAACACGATTGCTCGTCTGAAAGTCCATACTCAGCAGCTCGTGGTCCTTTAGGTGTTGGCGCTCAAAAAAATTAAGAGAATGGGAGTTCATTTGCAAGTGGTCAACCGGTTAGATTCAAAATGGTCCGGTTGTCCACTTGAGGGGGAGTGTTAAAGTGCATCCCACATCAGAAGTTCAAGAGTAAAATAATCCGGTTTATAAGCTCTTGAGTTAAACTAATTAACTAATCGATTGGATTCAATCTTTTAATGTGGTTCAGCCCAAGTGTCTTATTACCCAATCGAGTTGTCCATACCCATCCTAAAATTCTATCATGGTATCGGAGCAGGTTTTGGCTCACCTCGTTTGTCAAGGTGTCCGTCTAGACGTTCATTCCTAGCGGCCCGTTAGTCTTTAGCCAAGTTGTCCGTATGGAGTATGTATCCAACGGCCTGTGGCCCCGTTTAACACGATTGCTCGTCTGGAAGTCCATACTCAGTGACTCGTGGTCTTTTAGGTGTTGGCGCTAAAAAAATAAGGGAATGGGAGTTCATTTGCAAGTGGTCAACCGGTTAGATTCAAAATGGCCCGATTATCCACTTGAGGGGGAGTGTTAGAGTGCATCCCACATCGGAAGTCCAAGAGTAAAATAATCCGGTATATAAGCTCTTGAGTTAAACTAACTAATCGATTGGATTCAATCTTTTAATGTGAATCAGCCCAAGTGTCTTATTACCCAATCGAGTTGTTCATACCCATCCTAAAATTCTATCAGTAGGAATAATCAATTTTATGAACGGAGCTCCGTAGGAGGGAAGTGTCTTCCGTGACCACTGGCCATGGAACCGGGCTCTTAAAATTATGGTTCATTATTTATCCAACCAAATTTTATTTAGTTTATTGACATTTTTTCCTTCAACACTTGATAAAATAATTATTATCTCAATATCTCACCTCTAATTGTATACATCTTTTGATATATATTTTAAATATGTACAATAACAACAATTCAGTTATATCCCATGAAAGTAAGTTTTGGAAAGGGTGTGTGCATTGGGAAGTACTCCCTCCGTCCAAGAATAAACATCCTACTCTACCTTTTTTTCGTCCAAAAAAAATCTTCCTGCTCTACGTTTTTATACCTATTCTTCCAAAATTACCCTTCTCCTCACATTTCTTCTCCCCATTTCACCTTCCCCACGGCAAATCCGGTCTTATCTTCATCACTCCCACTCTCTCTCACAGTCTCCCCCCCTCTCCCTCTTCCCCCTTCTTTTTCTTGTTTCCCCCCTTTCCTTTCTCGGCCTTATCTTCTTCTTTCTCTTCCC